GGAAGGGTTATGTGTTGACCCCCAACGGGGGATTGTATGGATCTTCTTGCTTGTGTGGGATTGTGCAGGTGAGTGATGGCTAGAAATGCCTTGAGCGAGATAAGGGCGAGAGGAACTGGGCACCAAGAGTGAAAGGGAAGAGGGACAAAGGGGCTATGGGACCCTTGACATAGAGCCAACCCATGAGAATGACTTTTGAGCATGAAGACTTGGAGTATAAATGAGAGTGCAATCGTACCAAGGAAATTGTGATGATGTGCGTGGATGCATATGAGGACCCCGAAAAGACTAAGGGGCCTACTTCAATAAGGAAGAAAGCAAATTATGAGGCCCGATGAATGCATAGAGGGGAGGGAGAGGACGGCTCCGCCGCATCCCGATGACGCCATATAGCCACAATGCTTAGGGAAATGGTGCGTGGCCTAAGGATGACGCTTAGCCTACGCACAAGAGAAGAGAAGTACTCAAAGAACCCTTGGACTGCATGCGTATTGGAAGGAGCAATTGTATGAGAACACGACAAAGAATTAAAAAAAAATCAGCGCTGCAACCAGCGAGATTACCACCCGGCGTGAGGGTTGAGCTACATCCCCAATGTCAAAGCTCTCTCGCGCGATGACCCACCCTCATCCATCTCAAAGCACTAGGTGGGGGTGACCTCGGGACGAACAGCCCGCGCCCCGAGCAGGAGTGTGGGCGGGCCGAGCCAACTGGGACCCCCAGTGAGGTCGACTAAGGCTTGAAAGTCTATCGGGGTTTGGCCCTACAAAAATGGTGGAGGTGATAGGCATGGGGTTAAATTGACCCTTGCGATTGCGATGGGGGCGCCCTACGCATTGACGTGTACACAACCCAAGATAAGGAAAATGAACTTGTGTTTGTTCTTTCCCTTGTGAGAAATCAAATTTGAGGGCGGCTGGGCGCATGGCATGGCCAGACCTGGAGGAATAACATGCATGCTTTGCACTTGGTTAGCCATCTCCTTGCGGAATAGCTCTAGCCCTCCTTCGTTCGGTGCTAGTGTTCGTCAGTCCGGGGAAGCCTAGGGCAAGTTGCAGGTCGACCCTTCCTCTTCGTATGAAAGAAGGGCTCCGGTTACCTGGCAGGCGTTTGGTGCTTGGTTTAGGCGAGGTTCCAATGAAAATCCCATGGCGGAGTGATCCGACCGAATGGGTGTTTTTCCCTTCTTTTTTGAGCCCAGCGGGCTCATGCACTTTGCACCTTTTTTTTAATGATTGAAGGAACCAATATGAACACAACGGGTCATCAAGAAAAAACAATCCTACCCTATGAAAGGACAGACACGTGAAGAAAAGGGAAATGAAGGGAGTTGCTAGACTCCAAGGAAAACTAGCTCACCCTTGAAGATTCTCACGAGAAGAAACCAACCACTATGTATGAAAGTAGGGGGAGTGACACTCATTGTCCTGAGAGAAAATCTGTGAGTTATGGGTAGGAGGCGCTGGGTGCACCAAGGGGATGGCACTTGTACTATGTGTGTCTCACTTGGGACTTGTGTTTGAATGATGGGATTCGAGCGTCCTGCCTTTCGGAAGGAAAGAATTGGTCTGCACCGGCCAGTGCGGGTTGCAAAACGTCGTTCTCTTTTGCAGACTGCCGTGTGTTCGTATGTGGAGGTCAGGCCACCGAGCTGTCGGACGGGAGTTTGTCACATCGGTTGATTAGTAACATTCTCGTTCGAGCGGTGACGGACTTCGGCTCGATGATCTGTTGGACGGGGTGTGAAATCTCCTCAGGCGGGGCTTAGCCTGTTGGATGGTGGAGGGAGTACCACTGCATGCGGACAAAGACGGAGCCTCGGAGGCGATTAGTAGCCTCTCGTAGTATGGTTTTGGGAAAGGTTGATTCTTGTCCGACCGATGGAAGTGAATGCCCGGCCGGCTGACTTTATCCGTGTATTTAGGCACTCGGGGTAACCCTCGGTGTCGGTATGGATGTGCAAAGCGGCAAGACGGGATGGGGTATTCTGGGTAAGGAGGAAAGGGCGAATGCCTTGCCGAGACCTGGGTACCACGCTCGCGACGGTTGAGCTGCGCTTGAGGTATGGGACAAAACTCTACTGATAGTACCAGCGGAGAGACCATATTGGGGATGGCCGGTGAGGAGATGACCGACCCGTATGTGAGGTTGCCTGATTTTTTTATGTGTTTCCCCCTCTGTAAAAGTTGATTGAGTTCGGATTGTTGGACGGGACATATCTCTAAGTCTATTCCTCCCCCCCCATCTAAGTCCGCACGAGTGAGAGATGATTGGAAGGAAAAATGATAGAGGTCAGTTGGAATAGAACCAAGAGAAAGAATGTGGGCAAACGGATGGCCGGCCGAGGGAATTATGAGAAGGGGGTACTTAGAAAAAGGGGAGGTAAAATACTGAGACCTTGATGAGGGGTCTAAAATAATTATCATCTAGGAAAAGGGTTGACCTGATCAAAAGGATCGGTTGGTGCATTTTTATAAAAACAGGGGTCGGGTGCTGAAAACAAGATGGCGCGATGGTTGCCTTCCCCGATTTATACTAGCGGTCAGGTAATGCCTGTAGATGTAAAGGATGGGGTATCGGTCGTCCTCCCGGAAAATGGAACGTGGACGGACCTTGAACCAACGTATCAAACGGTAATGCTGGAAGGAGAGGATGCTTTCCTTTGGATAGAAACAATATGGACTAATGTCAGCTTGACGAGGCTGTCACCAAACTTAATGGATTTGGAATTCCGAGGGACAGTGGAAGCCCGGGGGTGGGTCTACTTGTCGCAAGATGGGGAGAAAGCTATGATCATAGAGTTGGCACCCGGGAATACGCCGGACGAGTTGTTTAGGAAGGCAGAAGCAGAGGTTGTGTGGGCTGCATGTCAACGGAGGGAAATGGAAATGAAAAAGGTAGACGTACGGGTGGAGCTTGGGGATAGAGGAAGCATGAGGCAACCCGTAAAAACCATGCGATGTGTGCTGCCCTCCTTCCTAGTGGATGCGGTTTTCGGAACCCGGAGCAGGCTAGTACGAATGTGCCAGTCCATGACGAACCTCGGGCTATACCAATGCGCCAGGCAATATTTTTTTTTGTTATCAGTAGAGATGGGGCCGTTCGAGGGGAACTGGGCGGAGGAGCTGGTCGAGATACTAAACTGCCTTAGCATAGACAATATATTTGTCCCTAGCGCTGTGCATTGGGGGATAGTCTACAGGAATGTGGCAATAGGGGAGACGTTTCTAGATAGGGTAAGGGGGTTGGTATACGACGAGGAGGACGACTTCAGTGATGAAGACGAAGATGAAGAGATAGAGGACTGGGACTTCTAAGAGGGGTGGGGAAACTTAACTTAGGAAGGACGAGTGGTCTGGTATTGTGCAGGAAAGGGAAAGATGACTAGAGAAGAAAGGATGATGGAATACCCCTTCAAAGGTTGGGAACCACGGCGACTCAGAGGAGGAATAGAAATGCCTATACCAACAGGGAACGGATGGAGAGGGACCACGTGCGACTGGATTGGGTTTGAGGTTTCCCGGGACTTGTCATATGTATGGATAGGGCGGATTTGGAACCCGATAAGGGAAGAGGAAGGTTGGGATGATATAGCAGAAGGCACGGTAGAGTCAGTTGGAACGATTGTCCTTTTCGAGGATGGGTGGCACCTGTTTTGCACCATGTTAACAATGGGACAGGACCCGATGTGGCTTCTAGGGGATGCAGAGGCCCGAACCCGAAAGGAAGGCAAGCTGTTCGCCAACGAGGGATGGGACGAAGTTAGTAGCAGCGTTGTGATGAGAGGATGGAAGGAACTCAAGCCTCCAAGTCTACGGATAACGGCTTGGGTACCGGAATGGGGGTTTGAGCACATTTTAGAAATAGCCGACTCCATGAGAAAGGTGCATATAGAGTGTGTCTGGCTGACTGAGGAGTTCTATAGGCTCTCATTGAAATATGGACCCTTCTACGGAGATAAAGCCGAGGAAGTCATCATCGTCCTGAGAACAGGCAGGTATGACCGCCTAGAGGTAGAGGCAGAGTCTTGGGACGCCATAGTTAGCCGGGAGGCGGCGGCCGCACCCTCCTACGTAGACGATATCTTTAAACTATTTGAGGTACTGTGGTTCAACTGAATGAGGCCAAGGGATCGGACACCGCAAAAAGGCGGAGTATGGAGGGTGTTGGTGAAATGAGGTGTAACATAAGAAAGGGGGTGTATACATTAGGTCGTAGATGGTGCATAAGGATCGAAACAAGTGGAAAGTGGCAGCAACTGGAAAATGGGGGCAGGGGTAAAATTGTATGTGTATGAGTCGTGGATAGCGGCAAGAACCAGTGTACGATAAGTAGGGAGGGCTGAAAGACTAAAACTCGAAAGGCATGGAATCTCGGTGGGTGCAACAACCGGACAAAGAAAGTAGGAGATGAGACATTGCAAGATGGCCCGGCGAATGACGTTCTGGGAAGATAAACCTCGTAGGATCCTGCCACCAAGAATATCAGAGGGCAGGGTTGAAATAAGCCTGCCGGCAAGAAGTACGGTAGGCAATCCGGTAATGGACTGGGTGGGGGTAGAGTTGGTGGAAGATACGGTGTACTTAGTAGTGGAGCTGGAATGGCTTGCGAGAGGGGAGTTCGGGGGCATAAACTTGAACCGCCCAGGGCGTGTACATGCGACGGGATCCTTACACCTGTCGGAAGAGGGATGGCGGACCTTTGGGATTGCTTTGGCTTCCGGGGATGACCCCGTGCGAATGTTCGAAGGGGCATGACAAATAACCTGGCGGGAGGGGTTTGAGTTTGCAGACACGGAACGAGATGACGTAACGGCGGAGGTAAAAGTCGCCGCGGCGGGGGTTTTCGAGCTGCCAAATGAGGTCGTGCGGATGAGTCTACCACCCTTCCTGGTAAGACAAATGGGAGGCATAGAACGAGTGGAGCAGGCGGTGACTGCCGTAACTAGGCTAAATTTTGACGAAGCGTTAATGTATCGAGAATACTATCAGGCCTTTCTAGAGATGGGGCCTTTCGGGGACGAACAAGGGCGCGAGGTGCTCTGCATTCTACGAGGTGCGGTAAATACTAGGCCAGAAGTCCCACAAATAAGCGATGAGACCATGTGGAGAGTCATCCGGCAAGAGGTAGGTCGGGGCGCGACCTACGTAGATGATCTCTATCGGCAGTACGAACAGCAAGAGGAGGCTACCGCTCCTGGAGTATAGAAGGATAGTTGTGACTAGAAAAGAGAAATGAAAACACGAAGGGCAAGGGGGACAGTAGGTGGACGGATTCTGAAGATTGGCTGTAACCCTTTCTATGTGGACTATGCAGGGAATCACCAAGGTAACAATAGCAGCAAGACGTGAGTGAGTGGAACGCCAGCCCCGTGTGCGAATGGAACGCCGCCCTCGATACCCCGGACCGCCCTGGAACAACGGCGGACGATGGGAAGTATCCCTCCCGTCGAGTTCTACCTATCGGGGGTTCGACACAGAATGGCAGGCCGTGACTTTGGGAAGGGACGCCGCCTTCATGTTAGTAGAATGTCGGTGGACAGGGATGAGACTCAACCGAGGACCCGGAGACGATCTGTTCTCCAATCTGGAAGTTACCGAGACCATGTATCTGCCTGAGATCGGCTGGCATTCGTTGGGGGTAGAGATAGCACAAGGTCATGAACTGGCACCAGTCTTTCAAAGGGCCGCCCGGACGTTGACCCGGATAGGACATTCGGTCAGGGGAAGAAGGAACGTGGGCTTGCTAACCCGGGTGGAAATGGGAGGTTGGAGGGAGTTCAGGGCGCCAACCACACCGCTGAGGTGCCGAGTGCCCCGTTTTATGATAGACCTCGTCTTCGGAAGCCTCGCAAGGGCGCGGAAGCTGGCAGACTCAGCGATAGTCTGGGCAGGCCACTTTCCGTCCTCTATGATTGGCATGTTCTACGATGTCGCTGTGGAGCATGGGCCGTTCTGGGGAAACAGGGCCCACGAATTACTAGAAGTCATCCACATCCTGATGTTTTGTGCGCCCCGGCTAGACTGAACGGGGTGCGAACGCATAATCCAAAGGGAAATCGGGATAGGGGAGAATTATCTAACAGGGGTGGCTCAACTATTCGAGGAGCCTACCGAACCGGAAGGGCCACGAAGGCGAGAACGGGACTAGCACCCGCAGGCGAGCCAGTAGGGCAAATCAAGCACAGTCCGCTACGTTCGAAGGCCACCGACAGATATAGGAAAGGGGGGGGCCTCGGACCCGGATGATCAATAACCGCCAGACAGGGAACACCGCGCAGGAAAAATTTTTCTAGCGGGTTGCCCAACCCGGACCCTTACACACCGACCAACGGAATAAGGGCGCTCTAAACGAGCCGGTGATAAGGGAAGCTAAGTCACGCCCTTAGCTCGGTGAGGCAGCAGAGCCGGACGCGGCTCCATATTAAGGAAGCCATTAGAAAATGGGAATGGGGAAAAACCTAATTACCAAGTAAAAGGATAAACCAACAAGATTGGAACCTAGAAACCTAAATGCCTCGCACCGCGTTTGTTCTGGGGAATCCTTTGGTTATGCAGAAGTAGGCAAGTATGGCAACGGAGGATAAGACGGGTAATCATGAAAGCGAGGGAGAACCAGGATTAGGAGGCAGTGCTGAGCAAAGCAAGGAAGGACAGAAGGACAGGGAATCAGCAAATCCGAATGGCACCAAAGGGAACCAGAAGGAAATGTCCTCAGGAGAGAGCTCGGGAAAAGTTGGGGGAAGCAGACAGGGGACCCAGGAAAACAAGGAGGGCAGGAATAAGGATAGGGCGAGCCCCGGGAACTCGGAGGGAGCTGTGTCTAAGAAAGTAAGGGTCACGGACGCGAGGTGCAAACTAGCAGAAATAGAGAAAAGGACCGCGGAATACAAGGCAAGGTTAATTGAGGAAATGATGATTGGGAACGAGGAAGGCCCTCTGCAGGCGGTACCGCGAGACGAACGGAAAACCAGCCGGGACGGAACTAGGCAAGGGGACAAGGGTAGTGACCGTGGGGGAACGCCGAGCAAGAGAAGGAAAGAGAGAGAGAACTCTCCGGGGATGGAAGCAAAAAAGGCTACGACTCCGCCAGCCATGGACAGTAGGGCTAGCCGCCTGCCGATCACGCCAGCAGTAGCGCGAGGGTGCGAAGGACTTTGGAGCCTTAGGGAAAGAGTGCTGGGATGGTTTGACCCGGAAGGAACTATGAAAACCAGGGAGGGACAGAAGGCCGACAAGGAAAGTCCGGATAACAGTGTGGCAGGTGAGGCCAGCAGCTCCGAGGGCGGCCTTAAGAAGATAGTGTCGTCCCTTGCGCGAGCACTAAACAAAAATCAAGGCTATCTGGCAGATGCCAAGAAAAAGCTGACTTTCGATGGAGCAAACATCACGGAGTTCTTGATCGACTACGAGAACCTAGTTGCGTTACTAAAGTGGACCAAGGAGGAAAAGATAGACCATCTAGGACAGCATGTCGTTAAGCCTAGGACGGGACATAATGGTCATTGTAGTCGCAAGCCGGTTTTGGAAGAAGACCCGGGATGTGATGATGAGGAAGTACCTAGCGGCAGAGAAAATGGCAACGGAGGCCGACCTAGCGGCAGTTCAAAGGAAGAACTTCGCAACGTACAATGATTTCCTACGAGAATTTACTCTAGTAGCACTAAGGATCCTCAGGGTCACGGAACGGATAATGAGCAAATATTTCCTCAGGCAGTTCTTCGAGTTCGACAAAGACAAGATCCTGTCAGCTTACCAACAGACGAGCAAGTTCGTAAACACGCGGGATGTTGATTTTAGCACAGTAACAGATCTGGCTGAGAAAACCGTAGTAACAGAGACGTTGACCTTGCTCAAGGAAGGAGAGATCATAGATCTGACCGGTAGGACGGGCGACAAGGTAAAGAAGGGGATTAAAAGTCTACATGAACGGGTGCACGGGGTCGGCAATAAGATTGAAAGGATGGAAGGCGCGCTACTGGTTATGCAAGTGCAAGTATCCCGACATGCCCTCCCTCCCCAAGAAGTTGTGGTTCCGCCAGGTGTAGCCAACCGGGGATTCGGACGGAGAGATCCTGCTAACGAGCAATGCAAGTACTGTACCGCGATAGGACATTATGTGCGCGCGTGCCCAAAGCTCAACCATGATATTCTGAAAAGAAGGTGTACCAGGTCCTTAAAGAGGGAGATATTTGGACCACAAGGGGAACGGGTGAACTGGAACTCACCAGGAGGAATGCGGCGAGCCATTATCATGTTCAACGGGCTAGAAATAACATTTGTAGAAACCGAACCGGTGGGCAAGATCATCTGGGATCAGCTCTCGGGGCGCGGGCCGTAGGCCAACTTTATTTTGGAAAGTGACGGACGTGATAGGGTGAACGCAACCACTCGATTGGGAACGGCCAAGAGAAGGATTAACCGTGACACCATTATCGAGGAGGTCGCCGGAAGCTCCGAACCCCAGGCGGAGCCTGAGGCCGAGGAACCACAGAAAGTCTATGGGAAGCCTAGGGAAGAGGAGCCTGCGGACAAGGTTACCGCCGCTAAGAAGAAGTTTAGGTATCAAATCCCGATCTTAACCTTGCCTGAGCTCGACACCATTAGCAAGTTACTAGGAACTATGGTGTCGGTGTCTTTTCAGACCATGCTGCAGGCTAGCCCTAGGTTGCTCAAAGGGCTCAGACAACTGTTGACTCAGAGGCGAGTAGAAATAGGCGACAACCCCGAATTACCAGAAGGGGAGAGGGAACAGGAAGCTCCGCAAGAAGTGGCTAACCTTCAGAGGAGTCACGGGGACTTGGAGGATCTCGAGAAGGCCTTTGCAGACATTCGCTTGAGCTTGCCCGACCGAGAGGGCGGCGAAGTCATGAGATCGTCACCCGGGACGAAGCTTAGCTTTCATGCGCTGTCCGTAGGGAAACTGAAAATCCAGATTGGGAGTCATCATACCGACGCATTAGTAGACGGGGGAGAAGAAATCACTCTCATAAGAAGAGATTTCGCAACGATCACAGGATGTACGGTAAACAAGGAAGTAACAGGGAGCATCCGGGGAGCTGGCGGGGAAATCCCGTTCGCTGGGTACGTCACGAAGTGTGCTGTAAAGGCAGGAGTAAGGGAATCGATTTGGTCGTTTCAGCGGATGACCGTAATGGAGGAGATGGACCACGACATAATCCTCGGGAGACCATGGTGCGCGAACGTGGAGATGATAGGCATGCACTTGCACGATGGCTCATACATGGTAGACATAGAGGACCCTGTGACCGGCCGGGGGAGCTCCTCCGACTCCTTGGAATGGGAGGAGACCCTCCGAGGGAGAAATTGGCAACATAGTCGTCGTCGTTCGAGGATAGCACGCGAAAAGGGGCTTTCGCACGGATGGAGGGTATGAGAGAAAGGGTAGAAATCATGATTGAGGAAGCATTCAACAAGAAGGAGTGGATCAAGATGAGCCTGCCCCAGAAGAAGAGGAGGCAGGAGGACGAAGTCCTAGGTGTTATGATAGCGGAAAAGGAGTCAGAGGTCGAACTTGGTGCTAGCCTGCCCAAACGGAAAGAAGTACGCATAGACGTGCC